CTGCCCCATTCATTCCCTCCCATTACCCCACACTGCCCCATTCATTCCCTCCCATTACCCCACACTGCCCCATTCATCCCCCAACCATTACCCCACACTGCCCCATTCATTCCCCCCATTACCCCACACTGCCCCATTCATCCCCCCACCATTGCCCCACTCTGCCACATTCCATGCACATTACCCCACTCTGCCCTATTCCCCCATTACTCCACACTGCCCCATTCATCCCCCAACCATTACCCCACACTGCCCCATTCATTCCCCCCATTACCCCACACTGCCCCATTCATCCCCACCACCATTACCCCACACTGCCCCATTCATCCCCACCACCATTATCCCACACTGCCCCATTCATCCCCACCACCATTACCCCACTCTGCCCCATTCCCCGTTACCCGACTCTGCCCCATTATTCCCATTACCTCACACTGCCCCATTCCACCCCGTTACCCCACACTGCCCCATTCCATCCCGTTACCCCCATTACCCCACACTGCCCCGTTCCCCCGTTAGCCCACTCTTCCCCATTCCCTGCCCATTACCCAACACTGTCCCATTCACATCCCCGTTCCACTTCCAGACCATCTGCCCCAAACCCAGAAAACACAGGATCAGGAGCAGATTGTTCGGCCCATCAAGCCTGTTCTGGCCATGCAGTGATGAACTCCTCTACCTAACAGCTCATTGATTAGCAATGAAAAATGCCCTCCCACTTTTAGCTTTATCACCGATGGAGTGCCCTCTGGGGTAGGGAATACCAGAAATTGTCTAACCCTCTGAGTGAAGAAACATCTGCTCACCCAAGTCCTCAACGATGGGCCCCTCACCCTGAGGCCGTGTCTCCGTGTTTTAGATTTCCCTATCTGGGGGAAGGGAATCTCTCAGTGTCCAGCCCTGTTCAGCATCGTCTCAATGAGATCACCTCTCGCTCTCCCAAACCCCGGAGAATCTAGGCCCCATTTACTGAGTCTCTCCCAAACCCCGGAGAATCTGGGTCCCATTTACTCATCAACAGACAATCCTCTCACCCCAGGCTCCAATCCTACTGACCCTTAACTGTTAAGTGTCAGTAAATCCTGCCTTTAATACGGAGGCCGGAACTGCACACAGTGTGGTCACAGCGAAGCCCTGTGCAACTGGCCCCTGCTCCAATCCTTTTGCAAATAAAAGCTGTAGGTACAGCGCGCGCCTGCCCAGGGAGCCCCACGCCTCTTTGGAGCAACACTGAAAACGGGGACTCCGAGGGCTCTTCCCCCTCCCAGGCCCTGTTACCTGCGCGAGCTCCACCAAGGCCTCACTGTTGCGGTCACATTTCTCGGAGCTGTGCACCCCGCTGTGGGAGAAGGCTCTCGGCCGGTTCAGTTGCATACTCACTGTGCCCGGGTGCAGCAGGGAAATTGGCTTTGAGTCGGAGCATGGCACAGCCCCAGGGTAGTCTGCCGCCATCTCCGAGGGAACTGGTTTGGGGGCCGGGGGGGGGGGGGGGGGGGGAGCAGAGAAGGAGCAGGGAGACAGGGAGGGAGGGAGAGCGAGAGAGAGAGGGAGAAGGAGCAGG